ATTTGGGGCTCTTCTGTGGAGTTGTGGGAGGGGAAGAGAGAGGATCAGAGGGGGGAGGGGGAGGGTCGAGGCCCTAGGCCAGGACTGCAATGGCTGTCCATCTGAGCTCTGGGGAGCTTGGACAGGGCTGGATATATCCAGTTAGCAGTCCCCGTACTTGTCCTCATTCTCCCTCTATATGGAAAGCTCACCACTGTTCACTTCACGACTTTACCGAAAAGAATAAGCTTCACTTGACATCATCAACTAATCACCGGGTAGGGTGGAGGCTCCTTAAAAGCAATGAGCCATCAAGTTAGCGAGTGCATAGCCAGAAGGCCCCCCCTCCGCTTCTCTTGAACCCACTGGAGACCCAGGAGAGTTCTGGAGGCCTGACCTGTCTCTGCAAAGAAAGCCTTTTACACGTTTGATGCAGTGTTCAGTAGCCGTTTTGATCCAGTATGTTTTATACTCAGAGCTGAGTCTGTCAGTGAGAGGCGCTGAGCTTGTTGCTGAAGGGGAAGGGAAGTGGTATATAAATAATGAGAATGCACAGAAACTTGTGCTGTTACCAGCTCTGCTCCAGTAAAGCAGACTTTATTGTGTCACTGCCTCTGGGTGTGTTTTCCTGTGAAGGCCAGAAATAAAGCACGAGTACATGTCTGTTCTTTTTTATTTTTTTCCCCCAGGAGGATGGTAACTCTCTCATTAATACGAAAGAAAAGTTTAAATATTCTTTAACTGATAGTTGCTTTACCATATGATTTGTTCTGTATAAAGAAGGTTAACCATTCTTTTGGGGGCCTTAGCCTTGAGCTGAAAGGAAGGGCCTGGGGCTTCCCTGGTGGCGCAGTGGTTGAGAGTCCGCCTGCCGATGCAGGGGACACGGGTTCATGCCCCGGTCCGGGAAGATCCCACATGCCGCGGAGCGGCTGGGCCCGTGAGCCATGGCCGCTGAGCCTGCGCGTCCGGAGCCTGTGCTCCGCAATGGGAGAGGCCACAGTGGTGAGAGGCCCGCGTACCGCAAAAAAAAAAAAAAAAAAAAGTATCTTTTTCTAGATACCTTAATATGTGTCTATCATTAACTAACACGTGGAAATGCATCCTATAGTATAGGTTGTATGCAAACTCTCCACTGGGTTAAAGAGGTGGATGATTTCATAGGGCTGCAAATTGCAAATCCCCAAGAAGAATCCAGGTCCCCTGAACACACACTGCTTGGCTGGCACAGTGTTTTATCAAGTGTTGAATTTGAATGCCTTTATGTGTGGAAAGCACTCCCCAGTTGGCCCCAGATTCCTCTACAATCCATGGTCTAATATACTTGGCATTTCACCCACTTTTCTTACGTGTCTGGCTCCTGAAGACATTTGGAATTACAGATTCTGGTGTACACTAGATAGAAATTCAGGCCTGCAGGTTGAGATCAGGGGTCAGCCAACTTTCTATAAAGGACCAGATAGTAAATATTCTAGGTTTTGTGGTCCGTACGATCTCTTATCACTACTCAACACTGCTGTCGTAGTGAAAAAGCAGCCATAGGTAATACATAAACAATGAGTATGATTGTGTTCCAGTGCAACTCTGTATGCGGACATGAAAACCTGAATTTCATATAACTTTCCCCTGCCACAAAATGTTACTGTTCGGTTTTTTTCAACCATTTGGTAAAAACTAAGTATAGGAATGGTGTTTATTCCAGCAGGTCAGATTTGACCTATGGTCCATAGTTTGCTAACCCCTGATTTAGATCATTGACCAAAAGCCCCTAATGCTTTTCCAAAGGATCTGAGAAAAATCAAAATGATTCTAGAGCTTTTAGACCAGCAACTCACTTCCAAGTAGATCTATTTTTAAACGCTTGGAAACTGTAAGCTTGAATTACACACGTTATATGAATCTAACAAAGGCTACTGTTGGCTCTTATTTGCTCTGGGCTCTGTGGGTGACCCTGTGTCTCTGAAGCACTCAGGGAAAAGGATGCTAGGTCAATGACAGCACCTGGATTAGAAGCAATGAGAACAATCACATGCCAACTGTGAGGGGCAGTGAAGAGTGTGTAGCCATAAGCTAGACCGAAAGGGAATCCGATGGGAATGGACCCTGATTACACTTGAAATCTTTGTAAATCATAAGCATATAAATGCTTAATAGATCTCCAGTACATGCAGCTGATTCAGGCTTCATGACGATTTTCCACTGACTATCACTTCCATCTTGTTAAAACAAGGGGTGCCTTATTTCTTTTCCAGTCTTAGCACACAGTAAAGTGGTCTTCTGACCCATTTTTCCCACAATGGACACAGATCCGTTCAAATAAATTAATCTCCCCTCATGACTCGCTTGAAAGAAACATGTGCCGGTGAATAACTAAACCACATTACCACTCCTTCAAGGAAACAACCTCTGATGGGTGTCTGTCCTAACAAGTGTTGAGAAAACACAGAACTTTTCCTTGTCATTGTTTTCCTCCCTACCAAGTCATCAAGCAGTGGAGAGAGGGCTTCAGGAAAGGGACAACAGACAGGGGTTTTTGGTCTGTTGTTTTTTTTTTTTACAACTTATCACGCTGTGAATTCTAACTATTCATTATATATTTTAACATAACATGTTTAAAGAGCACTTCTCCCATAGATTCTTCATTTGGGTTAGTGAGGACTTGGCTGCAGTCTGATTCAGATATAGCCCGGAAATATTCCTGTGGTCTGGGAACTTCTGAGCAGGATTTGGTCACCTGCGCGACCTGGAGTTTGAGCAGACTCAGCGCGCACACACGCACAGAGCTGAGGCCTTTACTAAATGCTTGACAGCACAAGTAGCACGGAGGTCAGACGGGATGCTGTCCTTGCCCAGCGAAGCTTAACCTTGTTGGGTTATGATAACCTGCATTTTGCCTTTTGCTCAAAAGTTCTGCTGAACTGGGTGAAAATGCTTTTTAGTCCAACAGAAGTTGCAAAAGTGTAGTTTTCAACTCCATGTCATTGGATTTTTCAGAGGGTTCAGTCTGAAGCTCTTTTTTCCTCTCCCTCTCTTTTTGGCCCTCTGAGTACCCTCGTGCATTATCCACCTTGGGTAGGGCTCAGGGTTCACTGGCTTGCTATTGCCTTTTGCTGCTGTGGCTTTTCAGCTTAGAGCTCAGTGAGGAAATACTTATACTTAGACCTGTGTATAGTGAATCTGTTTATACAAATTTGTTTTGCCCACATCAGGTTTCCCATAAGAGCAGGTAGGTTGTACATGGTGTGATGGCTATATCTCTGCTTAGAGAACAGCAAGTAAAACCTTAGTCACGAAGGTGATAGAGGTATTTTGTTGTTATTATCTTTATTTTCACATCTCTGGCACAGGTTAGGAGAAGCTGGGGGAAAAGAATCATTTTTGGATGACTCAGATGCACCACGCTGGGCAGCTCCAGGCCCTTTGAGCCTCTCTCTGGGTCCCAGGAAGGTGGGAACAGGAGTGAGAAAAGATTCACTCCTCACACCTACCTAAGGAGTGTCTGGAGAGTTCTGTGGAAACCAGAGTCTGTGTCCTGAGTCTGTGAAGCAGCTGCTTTGGGCTGTGCTTGGAAAGGTGTGAGGAGTAGGTAGGCAGGTGCTCAGAGCTGGGGGGTGGTGACAGTCACTCACAAGAAGAGCAAGCAAGACTCTGATCTTAAGCAGCTCTTTCTGCCTTTCTGCTTGTGTGTGTCCTGCCCAACAAACATGGACACAGACTCTCCCCTGCCAATGCAGGGGTCAGGAGGCCCCCAGTGCTGGCCTGATCATGTCTGGAGGGCGGGCTTAGCTGCGTTTTAAGTGGGACGGGGAGACAATAGCGTGAATCTGAGGAGAGCAACTGTAATGGGAGGGATGTGGAAACTCTGACAAGTGTTAAGCCTCATCTGTAAAATGGGCCACCTCCGTGGGGTGTCCTGTAAGAAGTCAGTGAGATAATGCGTGTGAAACCCTTAGTGCTGTGCCTGCGCTTATGTTATTATTTTAGAATTATGTGAGTTCTTCTTTTATGAGAAATATGGAAGAAACTGGGATTGTTTCAACTAGACCAGAAGAGATTAGAGAATGGCGTGATAGCAGTCTTCAGATAGTTAAGGGATTATTATGTGGCAGAGGGAAAAAACTAATTTTTAGTGTTAAGACAATATAACTTAAGATATGGCCTTCGCAGGAAGGCAGGTTTCACATCAATAAGAGTGTTTATTACAGGGATGCTCAGAAACAAGCAGGCTTCCTTGGCAGGTCAGGGGCTCTGCCACCGGAACTGCTCAGGCAGAGGTTGGGTGGCCAAACATTCAGGAGCTTAAGGGGAGATGCCTGCCTCTGGTGGGAGGTTGGTTGGATTAGATGCCCCAGTTCTCTTCCATCTGTACAATGCCAGGAAGTTTAGCAAAGGGCTAAGGTTTTTGACTCCTCGGAGAGAACTCGTGAAACCAGCAACCGTGTAGACAAAAACTGGAAAATATTGTTTACAAGGCTCTTGGGGATCCATTGGGTACAAAGAGCAAGCTCATTTACCTAGAGAAGATGATTCTCAGCAATTTCTTCATGGTATTACTTTGTTAGGGCTGCCATGACAAAGTACCACAGACTGGGTGGCTTAAACAATAGAAATTTATTTCTCACCGTTTTGGAGGCTGGGAGTCCAAGATTAAGATGTTGGCAGAGTCAATTTCTTCTGAGGCCCGTCTCCCTGGCTTGTAGCTGGCCGTCTTCTCCCAGCATCTTCACACAGCCTTTCCTCTGCGAGTCTGTGACCTAATCTCCTCTTCTTATAAAGACACCAGTCATTAGATTACATGACCTCATGTAACCTTAATCACCTCTTTAAAGACCCTATCTCCAAATACAGCCACATTCTGAGGTACTGGGGGTTAGGACTTCAGCCTATGAATGGGGGGCACACAATTCAGCCCAGAACACAAAGGAGTTATTTTCTGAGTCATGGGGATGGTTGACCAGGACCAGCCTGGAGAATTTCGGTTACACGTTCTTTAACCTGTATCCCTGATTCTCTTCTTTTAGGTGAACGGCCCTTTCCCTGCACGTGGCCAGACTGCCTTAAAAAGTTCTCTCGCTCCGACGAGCTGACCCGCCACTACCGGACCCACACGGGGGAGAAGCAGTTCCGCTGTCCGCTGTGTGAGAAGCGCTTCATGAGGAGCGACCACCTGACCAAGCACGCCCGGCGGCACACGGAGTTCCACCCCAGCATGATCAAGCGATCCAAAAAGGCGCTGGCCAACCCTTTGTGAGGTGCTGCCCACCCGAGCCAGGGAGGGACGGACCCGGAAGGACGAACTACTCCCAGCGAACAGACAGACAGGTGGGAACCACGGCCCAGAAGAGGCGCGCTGCCAGCACAGGAAGTCGCTGTTCTTTGGTCACTAGTCTAATTTTCCTCTCCCTGCGTTGTTTTTAAAAAGCACATTGTAGCCTAAGATCAAAGTCAACACTTGGTCCCCCTTGCAGAGGCAACTCTGAACCGTCTCTGACTGTCGGAGGGAAGATAAATGCTTTTTTTTTTTTTTCCTCTCCTTAATTTTCTTTTGGGGGTGGGTGGAGGGGTGGCAGGTGTGGGGAGGGGGTTAAAGCCAAGACTGGGGTAGAATTTTAAAGATTCAACACTGGTGTACATATGTCTGACTGGGTGAGTTGACTTGTAGCATCACGCAGTGATTCTGGGCCCTTTCTGCTTGCTGTCTCTCAGAATTGTTTTCTTACCTTTCAATGTAATGACGAGTGTGCTTCAGTTTCTTTAGCAAAACCACTCTCTTGAATCACGTTACCTTTTGAGATACGAAACGCCATAGCACAGCTGTCTTTATGCAAGCAAGAGCACATCTACTCCAGCATGATCTGTCATCTAAAGACTTGAAAACAAAAAAGTTACTTATAGCCAATGGGTAAGCAGTATGAATTTATACTAATCAAGACACACCTTTGAAAGGTTACTGTAAGTACAGAACTTTCAAACCTTGCTTTGTATGAATTGTACTTTTTGAACATAAGCTGCACTTTTATTTTCTAACGCAGAGGATGAATAAGTTAAATACATGCTTTAAGGATAGAAGCAGACATTCTGTTTGGAACCACGTTATAATCTGCTTATTTTACAGTATACACGTTTCCCTATGAAATCATGGCAGAGATGTGAGGGCAGAATATATACAACAGACGCTGAAGGAGAAGGAGGGTAGTATATATATTTTTTAATTTAAAAAAGAACAAACAATTTTAACTCTATTAACTTTTCCAAAATTTCCAGTCCTTTTAATTAACCTCTTCTTATTGTACCATAATGCCACGAAGGGCGAGGGCTTTGACTCTGTTGGGTTTTATTTGAATGGGTGCATAACAGTAACTAGCTCTGGAAACGTTTATTCTTTGGGGAAGAGGTTTGTCGGTTACCGTCCCATGTTCCTACAGAACCGCCACTAACAGGTGCAAGAGTTACGTAAAAGGAAAAGGGAGCTGAAATGTGAAAAGAAAAATAACATACCCCTATAAGTAGTGAGCGCTAAGGGAAGATACCACGATGATTTCAGAGGAGACTGCGCAAAATCGTCCCTTTTGGAGAAGGAAGGCACATGGAACATATAGGAATGAAAACACAACACTGTATCTTTTACATCAGTAGCCTCACCACTATAAGATCTCGTATCCAGGGGTCTAAAATGGCCTCAACCACTATATGCATAATATGCCATTTACCTGAAAACTTAATTTTGGCCTTTACGTGGTCAGAAAAATGAACCGAGTTTTCATCGTTGAGAAGAAACCTCAAATAGGGGAGTCAGCAGTGATCGTGGGGGAAATGTTTACATATTCTTCTTTTTCATCAGAAACAACGTTTTCTGACAATTTTATCTGATATTTAAAACAGGGAGTTATGGTGCACTCTAGTTTATACGTGTGCTATGAGATGTGTTGTGTAAACCTGGGGTGAATTCATCATTTCACCTGACACATGCTTGTTTCCAGTTCAGAACCAGTGTGGGCTCCTGCAGCCGGCATGGGTCACAGCTGACTCCAACTTCCAATACAGTAGCCATCACTAGCACGGTGTTTTTCTTTTGTTTGTTTAACCAGCGTAGTTGTATTAGTAGTTCTGTAAAGAGAACTGCTTTTAACATTAGGGACTGGGAGCAGTCCATGGGATAAAAAGGAAAGTGTTTTCTCACGGGAAAACATGTCAGGAAAAATAAAGAACACTTTCTACCTCTGTTTCAGATTTTTGAAACGCTTATTTTAAACCAAATTTTAATTTCTGTGTCCAAAATAAGTTTTAAGGACATCTGTTCTTCCATATGAAATAGGTTAGGCTGCCTATTTCTTACTGAACTCATGGAATGGTTCTGCTTGTGACCCTCTGCATGCTGCCTTTTAGTGAGTGAGGAGTTTGGCGTTGCCTAGCAACCCACTAACTTGTACAAACTCATCTTTCCCTCACAGAACGAAATGAAGGAAAACCAAGCAAAGTCAGTGAAAGACAATCTTTGTAGTTTCAGGAGTAAATCTACATGTGGCTTTTGTCCAGCACTTAGATGGTTGTAAATGCAGCAACTTGTTTTAAAAAAAAAATGCACAATTTACTTCCCCAAAAAAGTTGCTACTTGCCTTTTCAAGTCGTTGAAGAACACACATTTGATATTCTCTTATATGTTATAGTAACATAACGTATAAACTCAAGGCTTTTTATTCCTTGTGATAAATCCTGTTTTAAAATGTCACAAAACAGGAACCAGCATTCTAATTAGATTTACTCTATCAAGATATGGTTCAAATAGGACTACTAGAGTTCGTTGAACACTAAAACTATGAAACAATTACTTTTTATATTAAAAAGACCATGGATTTAACTTAAAAAAATCCAAATGGAGGATAGTAATTTTTGTTTACTTTTTTAACCAAACTGAATTTTTTGAAAGACTGTTGCAGGTGTTTCAAAAGAAAGAAAAATTGTTTTATCTAATACTGTAAGTAGCTGTCATATTCTGGAAAATTTAATAGTTTTAGAGTTAAGATAACTCCTCTCCTTGGTTAGGGAAGAAGAAAGCCCTTCACCACTGTGGAACGATGCCGTGGCTTTAAGGTGTAGCCCTACATCATGCTTCTTTTGAGAATTATATTTGGTATAGTTATAATTACAGAAACTGACTCGTTGTCAGTTTGCAGGTAGATTAAGCACAGTACTCATCACTCTGGATAGATTGAGATGTTCTTTCACAACAGATGAATGATCTGTAACACTGTAAGATACTGATCTTTACAACTGTTTAATCAGTTTTATTTTTGTACAGTATTAGTGACCTAAGTTATTTTGCTGTCCCGTTTTTGTAAATCAAATGAAATTATAAAAGAGGATTCTGACAGTAGGTATTTTGTACATATGTATATATGTTGTCCAAATAAAAATAATAAATGATAAAGATTGAATTGTTCCAGCCATTATGTGTTGTAAAAGGGGCATGTTCTTGTCATACTGGGGGTTACTTCTTTAACTTGTGATGAGTGCAAAGATGATTTACCCTAGGCCTTTCAACACGTGAGATATTTGTGTAGACCTGTGTGTATTTACTATTCACAGACCTCTGAGGAAGTAGATGGAACGGAGGCCACGTGAAATCACTGTATTATACTGGAGGGGAATATTTATATTTCAGGTAAATCACTTAAAGAGGTTTATAAAGCTCATAACTGTTCTGGTGTGTGCCAGGAACTAGTCAGAGGATATTACTCAGATTGTTCTCTTGAGATATGGCATTGATAAGAACACACAAGTTGAAGTCTCAAAGGCAAAACAATAGACCCATTAAACCAAGTGAAGATGAACACCAAAGTGTGTGTGTGTGTGTGTGTGTGTGTGTGTGTGTGTAATTTAGTCTAGAGAATCTAAAACCTGTCATTGTAGTATAATCTAGTATAGATATATACTAGCTAGCTAGTGTTCGTTAAGGTTTTATTGTATGCTAGTCACAGTGCCGAGTGTTTAGGACTTTTTTCTCATTTTATCTTTTCAGCAGCTCTGTACAGCTCCTTACAGAAGATACCATTGTTATCCACATATTTCAGATGAGGAAATTACTAACTTGCTAAGAGATACATCTAGTAAGTGGTATACACCATATTTAAATCTGGATCTGCTGAATCCAACCCTCCATTTGTCTATGCCTGCAGCAGGTTATTTGCATTTGACTCATTTTATTGAGCAACTGTTAGTGCCACACATTGTTGTCACTGAGGACAGGAAGGTGACAAAAACGTACCAGCTCTCTGCATTCAAGGAGTTTATGTGTTAGTGGATGGAAACACATAAGCAAGTAAACAAATTATCCATGTGATTTTGGATGGTGATAAGAATTATGATGGAAATAGAGTTGGGTGACTTGAGTGTTGGGGAAAGGCTACTTTAGAATGAGTCTCCCTGAGGGGACTTAAACATTTGAGCTGGGACCTGGGTGACACGGAGGAGCCAGGCCTACAGATGTAGAGGGAGTGAGGAGAGCCAGTACGAGGAGTTCGGCAGGACGGCGATCAGGATTTTGGAGGAACTCAAGGGGTGGCTGGAGTATAAACAAGGAAGATGAGAGGGGATGGGAAGTAGGGGTGGTTGGCACGGGCCATATCATGGGGCCTGGTATTGCAGGTTACAATGCGATGTTTGATTTTGATTCTAAGGGCAGGGCCGGGCAGTGTCATGGAAGTTTGCGAGCAGAAGAAGGTTATGATCAGATATATATTTCAAGAAGCTCTTTCTGAGTGCTGGGTGGAAAATGGATTTTAGAGGGGCAAGAGTGGAAGCAGGGAGACTAGCATTTGTCCGGGCAAGAAATGATGGTTATTTGGACCAGTGGAAGTAGGAAGAAGTGAATAGTTCCAAAAACACCTCTGAGGCAGAATCATTGGACTTGAAGATGTTAGGATGTCAGGGGTGAATGATGAAAAGGTCCCGTCATGACCCTCAGGTTATTATGGCCTGAGCAACAGGTTAGTGAAGTTTGATAAGGTGGAGGAAAGGAGAAAGCTGGTGTGAAGGAAAGTCATGGACTCGTCCGGGGACATGTTGAGGTTGATGTGCCCGTCAGACATCACGTGGAAATGTTGAGAGAACAACGATTGTGTATACTAGTTTAGAGCTCAGAAAAGTGGTGTGGAGTGGAGATTTGGAAGTCACAATCATGTCTGATGGTAACTGAAGCCACAGAAATGGGATCACCTGTGGTAGAATAGAGAGAGAGGGTTAGAGTCTAGAACAGAGGGGAGGGGAGATAGAAAGTTAGCTCAAGAAGTAACAAAACTTAGAAAACTGCAGGGTCCTAGGATAAGGGGCAGTTGGGGAGGCAGAGTAATCAATTATGTTGAATGTCACTGGGGTCTGGAGTAAGACTAGTACTGAAATGTGTCCACAGTATTTAGGTATTTGAGGTTATTGGTGACTTATTAGAATAGTGGAATAGTACATTAGAATAGTGGAAATAGACCTCTGGTTGGGTAGGGGGAAGAGTAATCAGGAGGTGGAAAATCATAAATAGGAAGTATAGTCATGTCTTGCACAATTTGTAGAAAATGAAAACAAAACAAAAACAGCCTTGATCAATACACAGCACAAGATAGGAAAAAGAAAGGAGACACAAGAAAACCAAACAAAATAAGGAAATTAGAATCCACGTGTCACCTAAATCTCCTTATTTAAAGTTAGATTTTTCAATTTGGATCAAAATATGAAAGTGTGTGTGTGCGCATGTGCATATTTCACTAGAGCCTCACCTAAAATGAAATGACAAGGATTAAGGCAGAGGCCAACAAAAAATAATTCAGCAGTAGTCATACTGAAAACAAAAAAGAATAGAATTTAATGTAAAAAAAACTGGATGAAAGAGGGGATTACTTTATACGGGCACATTCTATGTTGAAGATGTAACAGTGGCTAGTAACATTCCATCAAAATACATAAAAAGAAAAAACAAACAAAAAACAGCAGGAGAATTTCATGAAAACTACAGTCTTATCCAAAAAAGAGAGGATTTTGGTAATATGCATATTCTTTTCAAATATTCGTGGAATGTGTACAAAAATATGATATAATAAGACTGTAAGTAACATATTAGAGACTACATTTTCTGACCACCAGGCAATAAAGTGAACAATTCACAATAAAAGGATAATTTTTAAAATACCAGAAATTAAAATATTGTCCTAATTCTTAGATCAAAGAGAAAATACAAATTATAATCAGCATTTAAGTCAATAAAAATAGTGAAAACTGTATATCCAAGATATACCCAAAAGCTTTACTTAGAAGAAAAATTCAGAGCCTGATATGTTTTTATTATTATCCATGAACAAATAAAACAATCAATTTAAGAAGCCAGAAATTGAGCAAAATCTGAGAAAAGCATGAGGAGAGAATAAAATTAAAGTGAGATTGACATATAAACCCAAGAGGTGGATCTTTGAAAAGACCAGTAAAAGTTAATTTTGAACAGCAAAACAAGAAAAATAGAAAATCTAAATAATGCATGATATTACGAATGAAAAGAGAGATTATAGATATAATGATCTAATAATTTTGGACATTTTGATTAAATGGCTTTCCTAGGAGAAGAACAATTTTGATGAATAGCACAGTATAGACCAAAAACTATAAAAGAAGTTGACAAATGACAGAGAATTTCAGCACCCAGATAATTTTATAGGCAAAATCTTTCAAATCTTTAGGGAACCAATATTTTCTTCAGAATTTAAACTGTTAAAACATAAAGCATAGAAAATGATGGGAAACGACTCAATTCACTGTAGGAAGCTAGTTTAACCCTGACTTACAAGAATAGTCAAGAATATTTTGTAGGGCTTCCCTGGTGGCGCAGTGGTTGAGAGTCCGCCTGCCAATGCAGGGGACACGGGTTCATGCCCCGGTCCGGGAAGATCCCACATGCTGCGGAGCGGCTGGGCCCGTGAGCCGTGGCCACTGAGCCTGCGCATCCAGAGCCTGTGCTCCGCAACGGGAGAGGCCACAACAGTGAGAGGCCCGCGTACTGCAACAAAAAAATAAAAAAATAAAAAAATTTTAAAAAAGAATATTTTGTAAAAGAAAAGTGGGAGAATTTGCCCTACCAGGAATTACAGCCTGTTTTAAAGACATAATACTTCAATATATTTTGTAAGAGTGACAGTCCAGATCAATGGGGAAAACAGGAAGTATCCATTGTGTTTAGCCAGTTGATTATCTGAAAAAAAATCAAGGTACATCATACTATATACCCAATTAACTCCTGTATCGATTAAAGCTTTAAATAAAATGATTAAAGCACTTGCAAAAAATATAGATGAAGATTCATAAATCATGATTTGGGGGAGAACTCAAATATACAAATCTAAAGGTAGAAACCAATAACAGAAAGATTAATAGATTTAACTATTTAATAATGTGAAACTATTATAAATGAAAAATTAGCCTAAACAAAATTAAAAGGTACAGACATGGAAAAATACACTTCAAAAGGGTTAGTATTGGGATTTCCCTGGTGGCACAGTGGTTAAGGATCTGCCTGCCAATTCAGGGCACATGGGTTTGAGCCTTGGTCCGGGAAGATCCCACATGCCAAGGAGCAACTAAGTCCATTTGCCACAACTACTGAGGCTGCACTCTAGAGTCCGCAAACCACAACTACTGAGCCCACGGGCCACAACTACTGAAGCCCACGCGCTTAGAGCCCGTGCTCCGCAACAACAGAGGCCACTGCAATAAGAAGCCCGCATACCGCATCGAAGAGTAGCCCCCACTCGCTGGAACTAGAGAAAGCCTATGCGCAGCAACAAAGACCCAATGCAGCCAAAAATAAATAAATAAATATTTTTAAAAAAGGGTTAGTACTTTAATATATATAACTTCTTACAGGTCAATATGAAAAAACATATTTAGAAAAATCCAGCAAATGGTATGAATTGACACTTTATTTATTGACAAAAAGTCAATAAATATTTTATAATGTTCACCATGCTTTCAATGAAAAACACAATATAAAAAAAATGAGGTACAGTTATATTTGCCTATGCATTTAGTGAAGATTTAAAAAATAAAGCACCCATTTTGTCAAGAACTGGGGGAGATGGGCATATTGTTAGTGGGAATCCAGATTGGTACATGTTTTCTAGGAAACAGTTGGGCCATAAGAATTTAAAAACTATAAAAATGTTCTTAAGACTTTAAGAAGAGATGTCTGGAAGGGAGGTGGGTATGAGGCATCCATGCTTCTTATATTGTCCCTCTTCCTCTTCCCTCCAGCTAACTCAGGCTCCCATCATCTCTCACCTGTATTCCTTGAATAGCCTTCTAACTAGTCTAGTTTCCTCCATGTTTTCCTCTTTTAACATCATCTTCCACTTTGCAGTGTCAGTGTCCCAAATATAAACTGTCCATGTCCTTCCTTTCACAA